CATTTTAAGCTTTTACGTAACTGGATGTTAACAAGTCGTGGCTAAATTGGACTACAGAGGCTGTCAGGGACATTAAACGTCATCACGCCGAACAGGTAAACTCACTGCTGTCTCTGCTCTCTTTGTGAAGATTATCTTAAAGAACCAAATGTGTAAACATTTGTTGGTCACAGAGCATTTTTCATCAATTATCCAAACACCAATGAAAAATTATTGTGGCTTTTTGTTGATGGAGTAGAGTGATGCAAACTTTTGGTTTGGACTACAAAAACACCACCATCCATGCAGTAATCTATAAAATGTGAATGTATCAGCTAGAGTTTAACAGAATGCTAGCATATAGATGGCCTCAAAGCTAACAGATAGGACTAAAAGCTTCATGCGGTCTGTAATAAAGATTACGGGTACAAAATCCCAAATTTCTATAATCCTGGGAGATGTTGAGTGGTGCAATCAATAACCTGTGAACCTCTTGGATAAAATGTTTCCTAAAAGGGAAGTATGGGAGAAGCATGGAAGAATGAGCTTTGTGAGACCAAATCATGGAGGATACATGAAGGAAGAACGGCAAACCTCAAGTCAAGTGTGAACGTCTTCCCGTGTCTGGACTGGATGAGCGAGCGGAGCGAGTTGGCCACACAGCGTTTGCCATCCCAGTAAAGGAGCACAGCTACCAGGCCTCGAGTCAGGCCGGGGAAGTGAGGCTGCTGGTGCTCTCCTAAAAATACACATGAAGATCACATTATTACAAAGCAACTTCACTGCAATGATATCATATGAGCAATGTGCATTTCAACAGTCCCGAACGAGTATGTTGAGTGTGTGTACCTGCCAGCAGCAGTTCAAGGGAAGCTAGTTCTCCCAGGTCAAAAAGGTCACTAAGGATGAAGGCTTCTGAGATGAGCTGCTCAGGAAGAAGTCGTGCTCCCTGCTGGCCCTGAATAGCAATGCCTTCAGTGCAGGCTTTCCGAACCTTCTCTCTTTGTTCCGCACTCTTCGGCTGTTTTGCGCAAAAAAAACAAAACAAGAATTGTAAATAAATTTAGATCGGTTTCGTAAATTGATTTTTATTTTTATTTTTAAATCTGACTCAAAAGAATGAAGATTTTAAATTAAAAAAGACAAGCACACAAGTCACATGGACCACTTTTATGATACGTTGAAGGCATTTACAACAAATGCTAGAATGTATTTTGAAGCTTTCAAATCAGGTTACAGATAACAAAACAGGATTTTCCGTTTATTTCCATTTCACAAGTAATTCATAATTTCCCACTAAACTCAACAGTACAATTACAGGTTTCCTTCCACATGGGTTGTCTATATAAAAATTTACTGAAATGTTTTTGAATCTATGGAAAGTAAAAACCTACTGGGTTTTTGAAGAGGGAGAGGAAGTTGGGTTTGTGTTTCTTCAACTGGAGATCTAAAAGATGAACGCTCTCAGGCTGACGGCTCCATATGGCGCCCTCCACGGCTTCCCAGAGCTCCTTCAGCGGGCCCCACAGACTGGCTCCTGCAAACCGATTCAAAACATGTCACAGAAAATTTGGTTTATGTCACATTAAAAAGGGTTTAAGAGACACTTAATTATAATGTTCAGTAATATTATCAACCGACTGCACCGACACTATTGTATGAGAACAAAACTTGAACTGAATTGAGCTGGACGATGACACCACTGTTTTCTGCAGAGCTGCTTTATAACTCATTTGACTTTGATTCATAATTGACAGACGTTGCAACATAGACATTGTTACTAAACTGAACTGACTCAATCTGAATAATGACACCATTGTCTTCTTATAGCTGAATTGTACTAATTTCAAAATTGATGAACAGTTATTGAACTGAACACAAAACTGATTTAAGCTGATTAGCTGAATAATGGCAAAACTATCCTCTGTAGAGCTGCTTTACAGCAGAATTTGAATTTGTCTTATATTTGAAGAAGTTTGCATTATTGATTGTTATTTTCCTGTTTATTACTGAGAAGCTGCTTTGAAACCATATATCTATGCTGCGAAACAATCTGTATAAAAGCGCTAAACAAATAAAGGTAACTTGACATTAAATTATAAAATCCATTCTGTTTTCTGTATACACACTATCAATGACTGTTTAGAGGACACTTACATAATGTATTATCTGAATCGGTTATTGATATTCAATTTGACAATTTGTCACAAAAATGCTTTAGTGCTACCATGCTGGGTTGCCTTGACTTAAAGTTAGAGGTTGATTAGTACAGCATTATCATAAATACAGGAGGTTGTAAAAAGACATGAGAAGTATGGACACCAACTTGGATATCAACTTTAAATTTACTGGCAACCATGATGTACGTTAACTTCGGCAGTGAGCAAAATAGAAGCAAAAATGAATGCAAAATAGATGCCATGACTTATATTTAAGTTACTATATAATAATACCACGCTAAACCAGATTCTTAAATACACATTAAAGCATTTTAGACTTAAATCAGACATTATCTTGGCCATTATTAACCTTATTTACAAATACAGAGCGTATGCACAAGTTAGTTTTAAGAGACATTAATATTCCAAATAAACAGCTTTTTCTGGTCACACAGAGATGATGGTCTTACAATGACTTTTCCTGTAATAATAATTATAATAATGTGGGTAGATAATAATAATAATAATGAATGTAGTGTGACGCATATATAGCTACACACTTTCGGTATATTTACTAATGAAGTAACGTTAACGTCAACATGGAGAGTCGATTAAATTATTTGTACTTTAAATCTATTAAATTACATTGGTTTAAATTACCAATATTCGATACTCTATGCTGTATAAAACATGGAGTATGTTTGTAAAATAGAATATACATTTATACCTGAATTTACCGCCATCTGCGTCGCCATGTCTGAAGCGTGAGTGGGCTGCCCCGAATTTTGCCTGCGTGAAAACATAACTTTCAGTTTCTTTTGTAAATAATTTATTTACAATTATTTACATTCGTGTAAATTTATGTATTTATCTCATTGTTTATTTTGTTTTTTGACAACATGGTTTTGTTGCGTTACCGGGTAACGCACAGATAACCTCTTTAGTGAAATAAAATTGGTAGAATGGCAAATCGGCTTAAATTTCGGATCACTGAAATAAAGGAGGAGTTTGTTACCGGAAAGTTGTCTCTAATTGTTTTTGTTTTTTTTTCTAAACCATATGTTTATCTACTTTATTAGATTTCCATTCTATTTATTGTTAATTCGTTGTTATTTACGCTTATTGTCCATACTCTGGCTGCAAACTGAACATAGACAGCTTTGTCACATGGTGCATGTTCCTTTTCTCATCGCTTCTAAGAATGGGCTAATCACAGTCACCTGTGGTTACAAGTATATCTATGGAGTTTCATAAAATAATTTTACAGAAGGTCCTCCTTGGACTAGATCATATTTGCATTTGTATGACGGAGGCAGATTCCAGCATTTATTACACGTAAGCGATAATAATGTAATTGTGCATGATCACTCAGAAAGATTCAGAAGACTAAAAACTAAGGCGTCCTAACTAGTTTTCTGAGCCGCCAGCGCCCCCTGGAGACAGAAGCGAGACCGTTACGGGAATTATGAGAGGGGTCCTCTCCACATTAGTGCCTGATAAACTGCCTGACAACAATCCCAGGATGCGTCACATGGTGCCCTTTTATGTTTACAACAACCACAAAGATTTTCAATTGAAATCAAATCATCAATATAAAATAAACACATGCAAACTCCCATACCTGCTAGCTGAAAAATCAGCAGTCATTTGAGCCTTTTTAACATTCAGGCTTAATTAAAATGATGTTTAGAGTAGGTGCAATTAAAATATATTACTTTATGCATTTATGTTTTCTTTTATATGATCTTATTAGTTATGCATCACCCCACTAAATTAATTTCATATCTCTCCTCCTCTCACATGATGATCTTTTCCATACTTTTTGATATTTATGTGTATTTTGTTATTTTGTTTATGTTTATATTGATGTAATGGGTAGCTATTATTTTGGGTTTATTTTTTTATGTGACAGCCCTATATATAAGAGCTTGTCTTTCTTTGGTTGTTGTTCTTTGTGTTGTGTGTCTGTCCTCGGGGGTAGGATTTGAATTTTGTTTAGAGGTGTAAATAATCTTTGCAATTTTTCCATGAGTCGTTTATTGCCTCAGGGCTGTTGTTTTTATTCTTCTGAAAATGGCTTGCTTTATTATTAAATAAATTAGCTATTAATTTCCAATCAGGTCAATAGGATAAATTTATTTAAAAAAAAACAAGAACCTAAAAACGTGCACAAAGATGTAAACAGAGTGTAAATGGGATAGTTTTCTTATAAAGACATTTACAGTATAGCCTACCAGATCACATCACTGACTGTTGGAAACTCCCTTTGAGACACAATGCCATAAATGGTGTAATATTCAGAGAGAGAACTTCTGGGAAAATGGGTCTGACATCCGTTATTTCAGCTGTGATAAGTACTTTTAAGGGCCTATACTTTCAGTGTCTGTGACACAGTTCACTCAGACCTACTTTTGCTGCCAGCTGTTCAACACAGCCCAGTTACATAAGAACCCCTGGAATTAAGACTTGCTCTATTTTCATTGCTATTGCTTATTTTGCTTTTAATAGCATTTTATGAGTCGTCAGTGTCTCTACATTGCATCTCTGCATTAAACTAAACCTGTATTCTGCGATGTCAGATACAAAATGAACCAAAATGTTTTTAAAAACTGTTACTTGTGAATCGTTTAGACTCATGTTTATATAGACAGTCTCTTTTTATGTTGTGGGAGGTGCAGACCTTGTTGCGCAAATGCCAGTTGACTCACTTACACCTACTTTTCTTCTTGAAATTTGCAGGATTCAAAGTTGTTGTTCCACTTGCTCATCCACTTTCTTCATCTGCATAAAAATCTTCCTTCTTTTATAAGATCATTTACACTTCTTGGTTACACAGAGATTCATAGAGATCAAATTAAAGAATTCAACATGATAAAATAATATTTATTAAAATAAGGTTTTAAGGGAACACAAGGAGTGGTTATTTATTGGCTCAAATCTACACAAAACCATGTGTCTTTCTTCTTTAATAAACATCTCATCTTATCTTGCAACTAGCATTCAAGTGGAAAAAAACACATGCGCTTGCGTTTAATATCACATTGAACTAAAGTGTATTAACTTATTAGTAATGTATTCATTAAAAAAGATATAACAAAAATATTTGCAAAGAAAACTCACAAAACTAGAACTAGTATTGCTTATAAAATTTAGCAAAGGGAGCGCACAAATATTACAATTCATAAAAAGCAAGCATGATGCATCACAATTTGCATTGTTGTAACTTTATATTCCTTTCTTTTTTAATCATCAACCATGAAGAAAATGTCTTGAGAAGCCCTTTTGAACAAAAGCTTATGCTGAACATAAATAAAAGAGGATTGTTTTGGCTTAAAAGAGTCCATCCAGTGTCCCATTTTAGGTTTTGAAAATAAAACAGTAAAATATGTGCCCCCCTCCCAAAAAAAAAATACCCAACATCAAAGTAATTATGTGGTCTTTGTTTGTTCCGCCATGCATGTTCTTTGAAGCCGGTCAACCAGTGGCAAAGAGGCTGCGCCCATGTGCAAGAGTTTGTGTGTGTGTGTGTGTGTGTTTGTGTGTGTGTGTTTGTGTGTGTGTGTGTTTGTTTGTTTGTTGTTTATTCTCCATTCCTCTTTATTTGTTATTGTTGTTCAGGAAAAGAGGCTGCGTGAATACTGGTTGCGTCTGCGAGCAGGCAACAGGAACAGTTCGTCTAGTCACTTGTTTCACAGGGACACATGGGGGAGGAACACCAGGAAACCCCCATAAACCTCAGTCCAGCTGCCATGTCAACAAATGTGCCATGGAAACTGTTTCTAGGTGGCACGCTCCTGCCCGTCCACTTCCTGTTTGGTTCTTCTCAGATTGCTTTTCATTTTGACAAACTCTGGGGTGTTTTCTTGCTCCTCTTCATTCTTATGTTGATCCAGTTCCAGCTAAACAGGAAAAAGATCATTTTGGTCAATCATTTCTGGATCTGCTCATTGTACGCCTATGTCTTGGGATGTGAGGGGACATACCTGTTCGAGCGTCTCTCGTCTCTTCATGAGCTCGATCTCAAGGTCCGTCCTTTTCTGGTGTGCCTCCTGCTCCTCTTTCTGAGCCTTAAGCACCTGGTCTCTCTTCCTCTTCTCCATCACTTTCTGGAGTTCTGGTTTATTCTGCGGCGCGAGGCCCCTGTGATAAAAAAATAAATAAAAAAATCAAGGAGATGATGAAAACACTTGACAAAAAGTAATTAGATTTGAACATTTTCTGAAAAATTGTGTGGTTAACACCACTGCAAAACTCGCCACCATGATGCAAGAGTGATATGGATGTTTACCAGGGTATTGCTATGCAGTGTTCTGGGCCATTGCTAGGAAACCCACCCTAAAGTCTAACACCGTGTCTACAAAGGATGTGAGGGGCGCGACGCAGCTCGGCAAAAGCAAATAGAACCCATTATAATCAGTGATGCTGTCTACACTGGATGCGGCACGACACAACATATTCCTGACAGTAAACTGATGCCATGTTCAATTTCTGACGAACTCCAAGCGTTCACGCAACACAAAAAATTATTGCTGTGATAATTTATCACAACTTAAAATTCAACATTAGAATAAGAAATAATGTGTTGTTTCAAGTTAAAAACTATGTGTTTGTGCTTAACTTAAAATATTAAGTTTAGTTGGATATTTAAGTTATCTCAACAAATTTTAAGTTGTTATAACTAATTGCAGCAACATTTTTACGGTGTACTTCTGACACGAAGAATAAATGGATTTGCAACAGTCACGTTTGGTGTAGACATGATGTAAGATATGGCTCAGGTCCTTTTGATTATGTTTTTATGATCCACAATTGATCAATCAAAAAAATCTGATCGCTTAGAAAAGTAACAGCACACCTCTTTTCAAAAAGTTTGGGTTTAAAACCATAACATAATCCATTTCATGATTTTGTTCAGAGATCTGACTCAATGAAAGGGCAAAATGACTCTAGCACATTTTAGGGTAATAATGCATAGGGTTACATAATGTGACTGAAAATCCTGATTGCCCCAAATAGTTGTAATCCAGTATGGATGGATTCCTGGGTGGGTTTTAGGGATTGGAATTGGTTCGTAATGTCCAGAAGCTGCTGTACATTTAGAGCATATGGAGATTAACTATTTAAATTACAGTACTTTGCTGTGACATCTTTGTTGCGTAATTCTCAATCTCATGTTTCTCAAAATTAACAAGCCTAAAACCAGTTGTTTATGAAACACTTCCAGGTAGCTCATTTGTAATGAACTTCAGAGAAACTGAAGCATAAACATGCATATATCTAGCATATTTGGAATAAGAGTCAACTGAAGTGATTGACCGATGCCAATGTGATATCTAAAAAGGCAGATGACTGAGAATAAAACAATTTAATGATAAATAACTACAATATAATATTTATTCAAAATGCCCGGCTAATGTAACAATTCATAATTGATTTCACATTGCTTATTTTTTTCAACAAAAAAAAACAAACTATTAAACTAATTTTCAGTCAAAATAAAAATAATAATTTCAATTGAAACAAACCTGATATAATTTAAAATATAAATATTAAAACTTAAACTAATAAAAAACGTTGTATGAAATGTTACCATAGCAAATAACTGAAATGTTTAAATTGAAGTACTAAAATTGCTTTTGTAAAAAAAAAAAAAAGAAATGTTTCAGCTTTATTTTTAGCACATAAAATTATTACAACTTAACTAAAATTAAACTGAAAACTGAAAATATAAAAAAGCTAATTCAAAATATGAATATATACTATATAATAACATTTATAAAGAACAACTTCTTCTGCTGTATTATAACATGATCCAGCTCTCTGCCTGGCACACCAGAGACTTGCTGACTGCTTTGTAAATCCTTCCAAAACTTGTAGACTTGTCTAGACTAGTATGAAGAAAAAACTAGAGGAGCTAATGGGAATATCAGAGCTGAGAAAATAGGAGATGAAATGTTTTGGCTATTTGGATAGCGGTTAAATAACTATATGGCTCCCAAATAAAATAAAAAAAACATGGAATTACGAGAATCTCTGCCAGGTGAGAGTAGAAACCACATCTGCCCGTTCTCTGACATTCTTCTGTGTCATGTCACTGATTTAGTTTCTGAACACTATTTGACTTTCTCCCTCCAACTATTCATTCTTCTCTGAGAGATAAGAACAATAGCAGCACATCAGACATTAATCACATGGGTGGAATGTGTCTGTTGTGCAGACGCAACTTTATGAGTGCAATAACAGATCAGCTACATGCCACAAACTTGATAAGAATAAACAATGCATTGGTTTATGATTCAGGGCACAGACCTTATTGATGATTAAATCCATTAGCAATCGATGTTGCCAAGCGGAAACTAATAAAACGGTGCGTTTCCGTCACAAGAAAAGAAGTACAATACAATTTGTCTTTTGATATTTAGACATTTTTGCTCACTGGAAACAGCGCGAGTTATTTTGATATTCTCAACTCGGAGTCCAAACCAGTGGACTCAGCTCCTGGTGGGACACAGCCTAGCAAAGTTCAGCTCAAACACTAATTAAACACACCTGATCCAGCTAATCAAGGTCTTCAGGATTACTGGAAACAACTCTGCAGGACAGTGGCCCTCAGAAGCTGAGTTTGAGACAGCTGGTCTAAACTATTTCAGTAAGGAAAGAATAAATAGACACATTCCCACATTCAGGCTTAAACAACATGCAGCCTTTTCAAAGTCAACTCTTCATTGGCCTCTTCAGCTTTGCTGGTTGGTACATTAGTCTGACTAGTGGACTTTTTGAAAGCCATTGTCTTTACTTGAGCCAGTATTAAGATAAGGATGTGTACTTGTCCATGGGTGTGGTTTTATGTTTGTATTCTCATTGTCGTTCAGAAATAGTTGGGTCCCTGTAAACAAGCTATATTTCTTTTGCACAATTGATTTTAGGATAATAAATCGGCTTGCCAGACACTGTATGTAAAAGGATAGTTAACCCCCCTCCCCCCCAAAAAAATATTATCATTTGCTCACCCTTACGTCATTCCCATCAGTGTTGTTTTGAGTGTCCATACATTGAAAATCAATGGGGTCCAATGTTGTTTTGAATATAATTTGGAAGAAAGTCAGTCATACAGGTTTGAATGACATACAGATTGCCAAAGTTTACTTTTTAGGTGAACCATCCCTTTAAGACTGATGGTTTTACTGTAGCTGTGCCTGGGATGAAAAGATTAAAAATAATTTTGTTCTGTGAATGGATAAGGTACAAACATCTTCAGGAATGCCAGTGTGTGTCGTCACCGATTATAAAACACTGCCGTTTGCTGGAACACACTGGTCCCTTGGAAACTGCTAGAAACAGACACTTTGTCCTTATTTGTGGTTACTCATCACAGACAGCTGGGCAATATAACAGAAAAAAAGCGAATGAGTTAGTGAACGGATCGAACGGATGAATAGAGACAAAAAAGAAACAAAGCAGAGGCCGGCCTCGATACATAAAAGACCACCCTGCCGCACAACCCGATACATTATCTAATATATGATGCAACAGACTATATATAGCCTGACCTCCATCTCTCCATCACTCCGCGTTCTTCACCTTCTGCCCTGGCTGTAGAATTGATTTCACAATTCTGAGTGTACAGAAACACTTTGAGTATTAGTGTACAGCAGGGTAGGAGGCAGACAGAAGGTGGGTGTCAGAGAAAGAGAACATAGAAAGGGTAGGAGGGAAGTCTAGGGGATGCTGTAATCCTTCTTATGTAACTCTCCATCTTTCAGCATCCCCCTGAGCACCACATCTGGAACTAATCCCATTTAGATTATGGAAATGTTCCCTTTTCCTAAACCAAAACAAGTACACACCCTCAATTCTCCACTCTCTATGAAGTAAGACTCCGTAACATCTTAAGGAAAAAAATTGAAATTAGAAATTACCTTTCTTCATGATCTCCAGTGATTAGATCTCATGTATCTCCACAACCCCATTCGTAAAACCCCTTCATCGCTACTAAATAAACTCCTAAAGTGCCACTAAAGTGCTTAGTTTATTTAACAGGGACAATGGACAGTCCATGACTGGCCCAAAAGTATAGCTAAAGAGCTAAACTTCATCTGCAGTCTCTGGGCAGAAAAAAGTTTGATTACACTGGAGATACTGTATATTAGGGGTGTAACGATACGCGTATTCGTATTGAACCGTTCGGTACTACGAGGCTTTCGGTTCGGTTTTCGGTACGCATTTTTGAACCGAACGGTTCGTTGGACCATTTTTCCTGCCGACCAAAATTTCGTTATTTCAAATGTAGGCGCGTCACGCGTGGCAAGCGCTCATAATGTAAAAGACGCTGGCGTGACCACAACATTGCCCAACATCAAATGGCAAATGTAATGTAAGCGGAACGAAACCACTCGTTATTGTGTGGTTGACGGACCGTTTATCAGTTTGGACCAATGCAGTGCGAGCCGATCTTAATCATCAGCACTGTTACTACACAGCGAAATCCAGTAAAGAAAGCATTTGAATTCGCCACTGAAGTAATAACATCGCTGCGATATCTAGTGAGAAACATTCACATTTCTCCGTTATTAACGGATCAAACAGCGCTGACGTGGAAACCAGGAAGAGACATTGTGCCATGAATGAACTATCCAGTGTCCACAGATCAGCAACATTCACCATGGATTTATTGTAGTAACACTACTAACTGTAACCATGGAAGTTTGGCAGGAATAGTAGGCTATAATGCTTTCAAGTAACATCATGTCGGTTTTATTTTGACATTATGAATACAATTGCTGCCCTCAAATGTTAATCTGAACTAAAATAAACCTTTGTTTATAACTACTACAATATTACATTTAATTTTGTCCAAGGAGCTGTTTTGTTTTATAAGCTCCTAAGAAAAGTCAAGTATAGCTCCATCATTGCTCAAAGTTAAAAAATATCATACTTTATGATGTTAGTTTTAATAAAAATATAATTAAAAAAATTAAATCAAGGAAATTTCTCTGGCATTTCTTTCTTTTCGCTGTATCGGAAACGTACCGAATCGTACCGAACTGAACCGTGACACAAGTGTATAGTATCGAACCGAACCGTGAATTTTGTGAACCGTTACACCCCTACTGTATATACATCCGTACCGTACCGAAACGTTACACCTAGGGATGCACGATATATCGGCCACCATATCGGTATCGGCTTTCGAATATAGCTTTCAAATATAAAGAATTATCGGTTATCGGCCAAAATGTTCATATCTCTAGTTACCTAGTTATATCTCTACCTACACCAAACCCACCACAAACTTTTGGAAAATGTTACTTTAGAAAAACTAGTGATTTTTACAATGTTTAATGTCACATTTTTGTAATATGGATTATTTTGTCATCTAGTTTTTCAAGGAGGCACTGCCTTCCTTCCCTACTCGGAGTAACAATTTAATATTTTATTTATATAACAAACAATATATATATAATTTAACGCATCTATACATTCTATACACTTTCTCTCTCTTTAATACAAAACCTGCGCTTGTGTGTCTTTCATAAATTTGTACTATTCTGGGGGAAATCATGGAGATTTTTCTCACCCAAGAAAATATATTTATAAATTGTATAAATTGAATACAATAAATTATGCATGCAACACTATTTTACAAATCAGTAGACCTACATAAAAAAAGACCTACAGGTATAATAACAAAGCAAAATCAAATATTTACAAGTACAATGCCTGGAACCTGCTTAAGTATACATTTACCCCTGATTGGGAATCACTGGAATAGATCCCCAGCGGAGGATTCGGATTCTCTATTCCCGCACAAACAGATTTCTACATGCTCAACTAATGTGGGAGGTGAGAATCAGTGGACAGGAGTTTATGTAATCATGTTGGTAACCGAGACTTCGTGTGTGTTATACATTTCTTGCAACATAGATGACTTGTGCCGTGACATATCAGTTTTTGTTCGCATCAAAGCTGCAAGAACAACTTCTACCCTCAAGGGATCTTCCTAATAACTTCCAAATGCAAAAGAAAAAAACGTTTTACGTAACAGGGAGCATGTGTATACACTTGCTGTCACAATTCATCACCAATGAAAATGAGAGACGGAGAGAAAAAAGAACGAGGCAGAGAGGACTAGAACGAGTGACTCAAACTTATTGTTTCCAGAGCATTTTTTCCCGGTTCCTGTCTGCCTAGATACAGCACACAAGCACAGAGGGATCTGCCAGGGGGAAATCATTCATCTTATCCTGAAAGTCCTCTGAGTAGCATCAGCTTTCAGAAAGACTAACTTTTTAAGAACGGTGCAACAGTGGAATGGCTCAAATTGATCTTTATATGACGGAGACAAGTCATATAGACATTTATCAGAGAATGTTTGATTCTGATTGATCAAGACCAAATGTGGTGAGATATTTTTTATGTGTTATAGAATATTTTTTCATAACACCCAGTTAAATGAAAAAGGATGGCAATTAGGACTTATTTCAGGTTTAACGTCATAAATAAAAGAGTTTATAATTGGCACGTGCCCACACATCACGATCAGATAATTTGCCAAAACTGCAGTGATGATGAAAATGATGAACATGTGAGAGGAGAAAATATGAACTAAAACAAACAGTGAATTCTGAGAGGAAAGACACAGAGAAAAAAGTACAGATGTAGGAGGACTGATCTAACGTAGGCTGTATGTGCATCACCTTTTCTGGTTCATAAGGAGCTCTCTGTGTAGGTCCTGGTGGTTTCTGGAGGACTTCACCGGGTTGAGGAGTTTCTTGGGCTTAATGAGGTCATCGCCATCACTGTCCATATAGTCCGGCTCTGCCATAATGCTCCGCACACGGGACAGTCCCTCTGGTATGTCTGCCTGGTCCAGACCTGAGAAAAAGACATACATTTTAACATGTTACAACATAAACAAAAGGTGCTGCAATTAAATAAATAAAAACTTTGAAAGTGCTTATTATTACCTAATACAGATGTAATTAGTATGCACACAGACCACAGTCATGACAAAAACAGCACATTGATCGATGCTTAAGTGTTTACAGAGATAGCAATATGCATATATGACACAATTAGACAATTTTGCCACGTAAACATTATTTGACAAATCAGGTGTTTGAAAAGCATAAACCACATTTCCTAGAGTATCTGCATTTTAATATGTCTTTTAATACGTTTAATATAAAACAATATTTTGACATAAAACAATAAAGAATTAAGTTAGCCCAATGCCCGAATGGCCCATTGGATCAAAATACATATTTAAAAATATATAATAATATTAATAATTGTAGGATATATAGGGGGAAATCCATACTTTTGGTTTCACTGAGACTATCGATACCGATATCAGGCAATAAAAATCTCTCTCATTGGTTTATCTGATATCATTAAATAGAAGATGAATGATGAGCCCATGTGACTTCTCTCACATGGTTATTTGTTTACAGCTGGATGGATAGTAGGCATTAGTTTTACACTAACAAACAAGCATGTACCATTCCTCACACAGGCAATTAAAATGCTGAAACAACCAGCAATTTGATCAGCTATATCTGAATAAACATGATAAACACCACTTGAAATACTTTACGTTATAGTATCCACGTGACACACATATAACTATGTGAAAAACATTAAGTACATGTAGGTCAACTCAGTATTTAGTATTTATTTTTTCTCCATTTAACTATTCTAATAATTAACAATAATAAAAAATTATAAATAATATCAAATTATACTTTTTTAACCTCAATTAAGATACAACATATATTTTTGCAGGACTATTTAAAATACAGTGAAAAGGTGAATAAAACATTTAAGGACACAGCATCTAAAAATGTACACTTTCACTTATACATTAAACCTAAAATTGCACTGTATTTCCAAAAAGTGCATGTCCATGTTATCTGCCAGCTACTCGCATACATTTTACCCCTCCAAATCTCACCTGGAAGGACTGGAAACACTGGGTATCTGAACATGGTTGTCATCTCTGCGTTTGAGGGTTATTCAAAATCTCAGGATATTAGGAACTACTTCCCACAGCTAGATGAAACTGCAGCTCTGTATCTCCGACGGAGCGCTGCGCACTATAAACAGCTCTTCTGACTCCGCCTGATGCTTTATTACCTAACAGCCCACCCACCCCTGCCAGAGCAGCTCCCTCAAACATCCCGGTTAATCTTTCATCACCCGAGATAGAAACATCAAAGAGTGTGGCCTCAAATACACACCAATAAAATGATGAACACTCCCAACTAAAGAATTCACACAGGTGCGCTTCCATATATAGAATAAACTTTGAGCTATTAAAAGAAGGAAAATATTGAACGAGATGGGGCTATAGAAATGTATTCATTATTTCAAAGTGCACATAAATCAGGGGTGTTATTTTTTTTAACACATTAATGTATTTATTAATAATTACTCTTTTACAATCTTCTTATAACCTTAAAAATATGTAATTGATTTAGAGTAAAGAATGCAGGTTTTTTGGTGGACAAGATGGCATACTGCATTTATATCAAATCATGAAGGAAATAAAATACCAACACTGTAGTTTATTACAGAATCAAAGATGTCCAAGTAGCCTACGTAGTGTAGAGCAATTTGAGATGCAGTTCGTTTGCTGACCACTAGAGGTCGTTCACGTCAACAACCAGACATGAGCCAAATGACGCACGAGGCTTGAGTTTTCACTGTCCTGACATAATTTAATTTTAAGGAACAATATGAGGACATTCCAAACACAGTGCGAATGCTTCAAACCCGAGGGTGAATTATGTCACTGCTTGAAATGTGTGGCACTCCTTCAAGGACAAAATCAACACTCTCCATAGGCCATGTTTGCTTACAGCCTTTATCCAGAGTTGTCACTGTTTAAATACACTTAATTGAGTTTCAACATACGTGCTTTTGTATTTTATTGCAATAACTTTAGCATTTCCCGTTCTGATATGTTTATATCACCTCAGTGTTATTTACAACCAGTCATTTCATTATGCATTCAGGAAGAAGTGGATGCTGGTGTTATTACCCTAATGTTGTGCGTCAAAGGCAGCTGTATAATGTGTGTATCTGCACTTAAAGTTCCTTTTGACATCAGAGTAGATCCTGTGTTGACATCAGAATGTGTTGAAAGTTTGTGCTGAGGGTTTCACAAACTCTTAACATTTCTCAAGTCAACATGGTACAATGATCTTATCAAGTTAAAAGCATAGTTCACCTGAAAATGAGAATTATTCTTTTGATGTGAATATTTTGAATGAATAAATTGATTCAGCTGACAAAACCGCTCTGGGGTGCGTTTCCCAAAAGCATGATTAGCCAACTATGTTCACAAGTTCCGCTGAATTGAGTTGGTAACGATGGAAGTTGCGAAAATAGTCTTTGGGAAACTCACCCCCGAATGATTAGTCCCCAAATCAGACTGATTCAGTTTTTTTAATTCCCTGACTTCAATCGGTGATCTTGACAAACTGGTTATCGATAAGGTTATCAGTGAATAAAGACTTACTGTCTGTTTCTTTCTCACAAAGCTATCATATTGCGTTAATATGGCCCGAAAAGTCATAGAACACTTTTATGGCACTTTTACAGTGCTTTTTTCCCCCCAAAACCTTATTTACTGTAATTCCAAATGCAAAATATTTTGACTTTTGTATTCTGCAGGGAAAAAGTCATACAGGTTTGGAAGATGAGAGAGTGAGTAAATAATGACAGCTTTTTCATTTTTGCGTGATCTTTCGCTTTAACGGGTAAATAACTGACCATTTCTATAAATATGTACTACATTCCACTTCATGTCACAGTATCAACAACACTTTTTGCAAGGTTTGTGTACTGCTTATGTGCTTAAGTCTCTGCACATGGAGCCCTGCAGGACAAGTGCATTTAATAAAAGGCCCAGATCTAGCTTTTAATTACAGAGCTGCACTCTTCAACCCTGCACAGAGCGCAGACGCCTCTATGGTGACCACCACAACACTAAACACATGGGTGGGTCCAAGGCTGAGCATTTCAATATATTTTCAGGTCGATTGTGCATTGATAATGATACACCAGAGCATTTATTTGCATGCATACCTATGTTTGTGCATGTACTAAAGGAATACTTGTAAACTGTGACTCATTAAGGAGGACTGGAGGTGTTAGGCAGGCATCTGTTTGCCAGTCCTCAGATTTGTACCTTGTTCCAGCCCAGACTTGCACATGAAGGGGACAGCGCTCATTTAACATCACAATACATATGGGCGATCATGCATGTCGTCAGCCAGATTTGCATTAATGTTTAAAAGCTGCAGTGCTTTTGTTCATGGTCCACTTGGGTTAAGACTTAAAATTCAAGAAATAGACGTTTAGATCAAATCATTTGAAAATATAACCCTAATTCAAGTGATTAAACTTAACTTGTACAATTCTTAATTGGTCTTCAAAATTGGGCAATATGCGTGACATTGGAAGAGACGGGTATATCATTTCAAAACTATTTTTCATAGATCTTTTAAAACAGTTCATTGCAAAACACACTGTAACTTTCAGAGCTGTAACTTTCAAGTTCCTCCCCAATACAACAAGACTATTTATTTGGTACTAAGATGCTGTCCATACTTCTTGAAGACATGCACATAACCAGCTAGCGAATGGCATTTATATTGTGTTAAAGGGTCAGACAGACAACAGTTCTTTTAAATTGTAACTTTGTAAACTACATTGCCTGGAATTCTAGCAATTAAGGCACAAAAGGAGATTGCACTGGAATTGTGAAAAAAAAAAGAGTTTATAATGACTTGGATGGCCCTTATCAACCCACACAACACAAAAAGCTGGGGAACTGCAGAAAAGAAAACACCCACACCTCCCTTTGAGCACTAACCATTACAGTGACATCATGATTTCTAATTGGATATACTTGGAACATTGTTTGTGCAGATTTGCTAAGACTCATGCTGTTGCATGACTTCTTTCTAAAGATGACATCCAAAAATCACAGGCTTGAAATGTGACCCCAACAGCATGACAGGGAATTTCAATACAGATTGCTGCAATACTTTCAACAATATGGCCCAATATGTATTTGGATTTGTTTTGTTTTTAAAGAATTTGATTGATTTTATGGCCTACATCATAATAGGACAAAACAGAGGGAAGCCGCACCTTAATCAATCACTCTTAGCTTCCTTTTCCAGTCATCTCTCCTATGCCCACACACACAGACCTTGAACGAAGACATGGGGCGGCAATAACAGGAAACAGACAAACTCTAAAATAAAAAAAATCCCTTGCCATTTTGCTCACATTTTGGAGATGAAAATGAAGCTATTTGTGAGACTCAAGTACTGGGACACACACAGAGAGAGATGAGGAGGAGGTGGAAAGGATGCCACTTCTTTGTTCCGCTCTCATTACGGATAGAGACATGCAGGGAGGAAGGGAGCAGCTGGCAGTCTATTGCACCATCTGACCCTTATTGGGCACCGTTTACACACGGCAGGAGGGTATATTAGCCCCTCCCCGATCCCAAAATCCCTTTCACTAGTACTGTAGTGCTGTCACTTTCACCTATTCTTAATAATGTACTCATTTCTAACTTACCACTCAAGAAACCCCTTTTCTAAACACAACTAAACCCAATTTCTGGCATAAAGGCCTTTCCGGACCATCCCCCACATCCCACCCCGCCAGTCATTACAGACCACAGAGGTATCAATTCGTATCAACAGTTCTCTAGACGATTCATTTCTCCTCCTCATTTTCTCATGAACCGCCTGTCTTCTCATAACAGGAATGAATCAGACCGCCACTAACCAGCTAGAGATCTGAAACTGATTACATGTAATCCTTTAAATGAATAGTGCAGGCTAAATATG